TATACATTCAGTGTAGTTACATTATAGAATTTTGTTCAGTTTTTGCATTTCGACCTAATTACACGGTACAAGAGCTCTATCTCTTTCACGTATCACATTTAGGGCTTGGACACCAGGAGAGAAGATAGGTGGCAGCAACAGGAACTACCAAACCATTATTCCAAAGTAAGAAGCCAAGCTAGAGTATAGCTAGATTAGAGATCTTCTGGGAGAGAAGAAACCTGGAATTAAGGAGAAACTTCCTAAGAGTGAGAACAACTAATCGGTGGGATGGCTCGCCTTCAGAAGTTGTGGGTGCTTCATCATTGGAAGTTTTCAAGAACTTCAAGCCACTTGTCTGAAATGGTATAGGGTTGGGGTTAGGGTTAGGGTTAGGGTTAGGGTTAGGGTTGAGCAGGGGGTTGGACTAGAAGACATCCAAGGTCCCTTCCAGCTCTATTCTTATTGATTGGAGATGATGAACCTCTAGCCTTTCACAGCCTTAACTGTCCACTATAACTGCCTTGACCTCTAGGGAGAAGAAAGAAAGAAGAAAGGAAGTTCCATCACTTCTACTAGAAAACTAAATTCAGAGTGCCAAACAACAGCAAAACCAGAAATAAATCCTCTGAGATACTGAAGATGGATAATTTTATGGGATGACCTAGCATACATGACATCATGGGATCACTGTGAAGTAATTCTGGGCACACAACTCCCATGCGAAAATGCTGTATGTACAGATGTATAGGTAGTCCTTGATTTACAAGAGTTCATTTAGTGACAGTTCAAAGTTACAAAGGCACTGAAAAAAGTGACTTATGACCATTTTTTTTTCATTTATGACCATTGCAGTATCTCCATGGCCAGGTGATCAAAATTTAGATGTTTGGTAACTGGTTCATATTTATGACAGTTGCAATGTCCCAGGGTGATGTGATTAGCTTTTGCAACCTTCTGATAAGCAAAGTCAATGGGGGAGCCAAATTCACATAACAACCCCTTGTTACTAACTCAACAACTGCAGCAATTCTTTTAACAACTGTGACAAGAAAGGTACTAAAATGGGGCAAAACTCACTTAACAAATGTCTTGCTTAACAGCAGAAATTTTGGGCTCAATTGTGGTCATAAGTTGAGGACTACCTGTATTTCTGATATCAAGCTATTGTCTAGCCAGCTAATTCACAAAGATGTCTACTGGCTAATCTTGGAAGAAAGACACTGCCCAGTCTTGAAGGGTTCCTATTATATGCCTCCTTGATAGATACTTGCCACACAGCTACTTGGTTCTGTAACTTCAGAATACAATTTGTTAATCACTGACATTATAGACATCTAAAATGAAAATACTTCTAAGAATGTGATTAGTTGTTAATCTGATAACATAAAGATACTCTATTCTATAAAGGTAACACAAACAAAAATCTAAGGCGCAAGATAGCAATTCTGGTTTATCTACATTTCAATATTTTGGGGTATGAGCTCTTTTCCTGTTGGTGTCCAAACAAATAACTGAACATCTTGGGTTTGAATGCATGCTGGAGAGAATATAACCAGCTGCAACTTTAAATCTTCTCCTTTGCTACCCTGGGCATATAATAAAATCTGACTTCTGATTGTCATATGCTTCAGCTTTGAAACATTGGAACCATTTTTCAAGAGAGACTGCTGAATACTGAACAGGCCCTTTATGGATTTTACCAGGGGTTACTGCCATTGGCATTGACCTCACCAGACTTCTCTCAGCTGGCAAATAGCTATTGTCTTTCAACCTAGCCAAATGACTCAGAAAGTTTCTAGTAGACTTAAAAATATTTAAAAAGAAATAGAAACATACATTATCACAGATAAATGCAAACAACCCATGGATTATAATTAATAAAAAATATATAACAATAAATCTTTGTTTGTGAAAAGCAATTATTTTATTAACTTCAGGCCCTGTGTTTCAAAGAAAAAAAGAAGGGTCAGATAAGTTAAAATAAGGTCCTATGCAAAAACAAACCCCCAAAGTTTCCTCTTCCAAATAAAGTACACTGTCTTTTCATACGCTTCTAACAAGAATCTTGCTTAGAAGACTTATGTTCTCATCTAAAAGCTACCTGTAGAAACTCACAAAAGGTCAAGTCTTGAATCTCTTCCAAATGCCAGAAAAAGATACTTTCTTTTTTCAGGTGATTTTTGGATCTTTAAAGTTTTAACAGGGAGTCTATTTCAATGCAGCCTTTATACTTTATTATAAGCTTTTGCAACACAACTTGCCCTGAGTGAAGAAATAACAAAGGCTGTGTTCATCAGGAAATTGGTCAGCTAGAATTCAATAAGAGGGTGAACATTTTCTCATGGATTAAACCAAAACTAAGGACAACTATTATCATAGTACCTATTTTAATCACCAATACAAGACAGTATCCTATTATATAATTATTTTGTGAATGGCACCTTTCAGCAATTATCACTTCTGCATCTCTTTCATTTTGTTTCTCTCTTACAATACAACTATGAGTGAATAAGTGTGGGCATCTGCAGGCACACAGAGACACACAAACAGAATCTTCATCCATTATACCAGAAGTCCCCAACCTTTTGGGCACCAGGGATTGGTTCCATGGAGAAAGGTTTTTCCACAGACCGGAGAATGTGTGGTTTTGTGTGCTACCTGCATCCCACGGATGGGATTCGCTTGTTTCTGTGGACCAGTTGCTGGCATGCTGCAACCGGTACTGGTCCATGGATCGGGGATTGGGAACCCCTGCATTATATTATTACAACATCTTTCAAAAAGCTTTCCCCAGAATCAATTGTTAAGGCTTTGAGATATCAGAAGACTTCATTATTTATCCTCAATGAATCATTGCTGATCAAGTTACCGGTAAATATTGACTAGAGGCACAGTTCTAAATTTGAAGCATGATGGTGAAAAGTTAGCATGGAATAGTATGAAAAGTCTGCCTCCAATGAATTTCTTCATCTTTTGCTGTCAAATGACAGCTCAAATATTGGTGTTGTGCAATGAACAACTGAAGTTCATCCCCTCTTTTAGGCTTACAGTGTCTTGGAGGCCACCTTAATAAGGAGATTAAGAGAATGAGCTATGAATTGTGGACACAATATTGTAGATAGAAGGGATTCTACTGAGAACAAAACATGGCCATTTTTGGCAAATTGGGTGTATATATAAGATTACAGCCAAAGCAGTGGAGTAGTATTGATTAGAAGACATTTGATAAGCAAATATGATTTATCTGGAAAAAGCACAGAGAAATGTATTAAAGGTTAATGTCGAAGGGAAGCAGAAAAGACCCAACTCAAAGAGACCGTCTTAACAAGAGTTTCTCTGAGGTTTAATTATTTGCAAACTAGTGTACCACAAAGAAAAACACTGCTTCTCGGAATGACCCATTTACTTTGTGCCTGTTCCTTTCTTGCTTAGTGGACCATCATTTGTTTTTGCCAAACAGACTCAATGTCACCACTGTAAATCTAGTCCCCCCCCCCTTGTTTCTTGGAAAGCACCACTCAGTCCCATGTCAAGAAAAACAAACAGAGAGGGTTTGCTTGGGTTCTATTTAAGGCAAATCACCAGTGGCAGTTCCAATAACAAACCCAAAACCAATAGTGATACTTGTTACAAGACTGAGACTACTGTGCAGAAAGGATCACACAGCAGCTTCGCCTAATGCAGCTTCTTTTCCTTTATTTTTTTTGTCCCCCCCCCACCCCAATCTAGGAGCTTTAGCAGTAGAAATATGGTAGAAATCACTCTTAAATCTTAGTTCACTTGGCATGCAAGCATGCTTACAGACGTCTACATCTGTAGGCTATTTAAGGCACTACACTATCAGCCCTGCCGTACAGCTCTTGGGTGATACAAACTACTGCAGCCAAAAGGAACCTAGTCCACTGATGCCCTAGGCTTGCAAATTGCATTAGAGGAGTCAGCCACTTGATAGAAAAACAAAAGGCCAGAATCCAGGATGCCAATGTGGGTTTCTCCCAAAGCAAAGAGGAAAACCCTTTTTTCAGAGAAACTGGAGTTGCTGTTTGCTTATGACAAGCTAGTACACTATGACATTGTCAATGGATGACTTTAGCAACAGGATATTCTTGTGTGATAGATCTTTGTAAATGGTCCTATGGTTTTATTGACCACAGAACTAACTGTGTGTCCAGCAGTGGCCAGTGTGTTAAATTGTTCAGGAAAGGAGCACTGTTTAGCTCAGAAATTTTATTCCATCCACTTACTCAGTGCCAGCCTGTTTCATCTGAAAAATAAATGGTTTTTACTTGGATAGCCAAGGACTTTATTATTTCCAAAATTCTTCTCGTCTTCAAAGTGCTTTTAGAAATTGGCTGTGTAAGAAGCCAGCTGATCCCAACTGGAATCTGCCAACTAGCAAAATCAGGCCACTGCATTTAGTTTTGTTTTTGTGCAGCAACAGCAGCAGCAGCAACAGCAAAAAAAAAAAAAAAAAAGCAGTTAGGAAGATCAGCTGGCTGGAGAGTTTATGCAAACAAAGCAATATATAATTCCCTGGACTAGATTTCATTGGTCCCCATATTTTCATGCTGCTACTGCTGCTGAGCACTGAATTTCCAAATGAAGAGTGGATTTGGGCCACACTTTCTCTTTTTCTAGGGGAAAAGCTTTTTCCTGGAGGACACAATAGCTGTTCTGTTTAGAAACAAGAGTTCATGTTTCCAGAGCTGAGTTACATAAATATATGGCTCAATATGTTTATATATGCAAATACCTATTGTTGAGTTGCCAGTGTCCTTCAGATGTTGACTGAAATTATGATAATTAGTTCATGGGGGAAGCTTGAAAAGATCTATTGTTGTCCTTATTTATTTATTAAATTTGTTCACCACCCATCTTGCTGCAAGCCGACTCTTAATTGCCTTGGAACCAATTTCAGTGGCTGATCCATTGGAAGAAGTCTTGGCTAGCTCCTCTGTTACCTAAGGATAACATCGGATTGTGCTAATTGGTTGTCCGTGAAATAAATTCCAGTCCAATTTTCATATACAGCTTTATTGAGGTTAGGAAAGGATGGGTGATACATAAGTTGAGCAGCTTTTACTTTCAGCAATAAACTATATCCATAACAGCCCACGTTCACGTCCAATCATTCCTACCTTACCAATTTAATCTAGAATATCCATACGCGTATTCCCCTCCCCTCCAAATCTTCTGGCATCAATGACAGACTTTCTTTGCTGGGGTTTATAAAAGAATGCTGAATGGAAACATGTTTGTATTCAGGACTCCGTGAAGTTACATTTGATTTTTAGCAGTTACAAGGGTTGTTTATTATAACACAAATCCTGAAACTATTAACTCAGCACTTGACAGTGTCCAGATTTTTCCAAGAAGCATCTACTGGGGGTAAGCCAAGATTCAGCAATACTTAATTTAGTTTGAATCTCAGTCCCAATGCATATTACCTTCTAATGAAGTTAGTATGAAGGCCATTGTTTTAAACCAAGATGCAACTTGAGCCTATATTTCAGACTGTGTATGCTATGGGACTATATCTCCTGTTTGCTCTATCTATAACCGTGCTAGCATCACTCACCATATACTGTAGATATCTATGGTTCAATTACATGTAAGTCTTGCTAATTTCAGTTTTTCTTCCTTCACTGTGGTGTGTTTGGATTATACACCTTAATGATATCTTTAGGGCTTCTGGGCTTATCCTCCTTCAATACTATTGAAATTTAGAGATACTCTGGTATTCTTTTAAAATTATTTTTCTATTTTCCCAGGGTGAGATGGAGGGGGACAAATAGGAAGCAGGATGAATACTTCTCTTCCAGTCTTTTTCTCCTGTGCTTTACAGCTAAAAGAGCTTTAAAGTCATTCATGTGTTCCAGTCCTGCGTTACTCTACCCTTGAAACACAACAACTCCTTCCTGAGCAGTGGGATTGTGGAAGTTCTTGATTTTATGACAGTTTATTAATAATTAGAGGTTCATTCTCCTAAACCAGGGGTTCTCAACCTTGGCAACTTTAAGACTTGTGGACTTCAACTCCCAGAATTCCTCAGCAAAGCTGGCTGAGGAATTCTGGGAGTTGAAGTCCACAAGTCTTAAAGTTGCCAAGGTTGAGAACCCCTGTCCTAAACAGAGGAAGGCTAGATCACAGTAGGCATCAGCTTTATTCAGAACACATTTCCACTGGCTACTGAAGGCAGAATAGGCTGTGCTGCTACATCGTGTTTCTCAGTAACACAGAACATATCACAGATTAGCTTCAGTGTGCTAAGCTTTCAGCTGAGGGGAGGAACATGCTTATTAGTCATGTTTTTTAAAGATCCTGAGCCATATCTTAGTTGGAAAAGGAGCTGGGTGTTGAAAAACATCAAGCCTCTACTAACATAATTTGTTCACATTGTTTCTGACCTTGGATAGCAGATAAACCAACGTGATATTATTTCAAATCAGGTGTTTTGCAAGCTTCAGGTACCAGGTGTTACTGAAGGTCACTGTTATGGTCTCTCCCACATCTAGGAGAAAGGGACCAGGAGTATTTTTATGCAACATTACTTGTTGATAATTAACTGCTTTTAACCAAGAAGTTAATAGTTATTCAAAGCATTCGGTACAAGCGTAGAGGTGGAGAGACATACTTATTAAACACTGGGAATGATGTGCAAAATAAAACTAAATCGATATAATAGGATGTGAAATGGGGCTGAGGGATTGAAAGAGATCATGAGTTCACTAAAAGCAGAGATGTTATTTTGGAAGAATCAAGTTAGCTGTGCGCTTCTTTAAATTTTATTACTGTGGATTTGTTTTTTTTAAAAGAACAAGCTGGATCTTTGCATTTTTGAATCCAGCCAGCTCCTCTGCATGGGGCTTCCTCGTGTTTAAAGCACATAAAGAGAATCTTGGTGAATCAAAGTAAAGGCCCATTCAGGTCCTGCATTTTGATTTTCATATGACTAATTGAATGCTTGGAAGGCGAAAAGTAGGACCTGGAAGCAAAACCAGCCTCTTAAGCAGTTTGCTCATCAGCTGGTTTTTAGACAAATGGGCTATGAAGCCTATAGCTATGGTGACACACTGCTCAACAGTATAACCCACTCAACTGGGCTACACTGATATTGTAATATGTTGATATTTAGGAAGAAAATGCTGTTATTTTGCTCTTAGCTTTGTTCTTCTTGAAAAACACTGCACTTGCCTTTTCGAACAGTGCCAAGATAACCAAGAGACACCCCTGTTTGTGAACAGAATTGTTCATCTTTCTGTTTCCCTTGCATTTTTTTATACTTTAGATTTTTTTTTTCATCAGTTGAAAAGAGAATCATTTACCTAGCAAATATTACTTCATTTCATCCATAGAGGAAAGCAAAGGCAAGGCAATAGTCATGTGGATCTGGATTTAAATAGCCATAACATTTATGCATCACAATTCCTCTTAATTCGAAGTACAAAAATAGGAACTAATAATTCTGTAACCTCCTGCTCAGAAAAGTCCAGCTTTTTCTAGGATTCAATGGGTCATACTCGTAATAAGAAGGTAGCCAGTCGACAGATCTCAGTTCCAAAGTCCTTCAGGGATATGTTCCTAGTCAGACAGTGACAAGATAACCCTGACTGACTCTTGAATATCATTCCATCTGACAAACTGCATCAACTGCTACAATACAAAACAATAAATCAATTGTAACAGCATGGAGCAATGCTAAAGTACAATGAAGAAAAATCATTTGGCTGTTATTTTGTTATGGGAAATAAAGTAGTCCATTCTTAGGTAGCTAAATAGAGTTTGTTTAAGGTTCTAGGATGCAATGTCTAATGGTGATTTTCAGCAAGGCAAGGAAGAGCATTAAGAACAGAGAACATATAGGAAATGGAAAGGGTTTATTAAGCACCCTTATCATGATAACTTTTATAACTCAGGATGCACCCACCAAGAAAATTTCCCCTGGTCCATCCAGATTTGCCTTGCCTCGTTAGTTAGTCTACAAAGAGTCAGGGGCCCTTAGAAGAAAAGCCATCTAGCACAAAGGTCCCCAACCTTCTGGGCACCAGGGACTGGTGCCATGGAGAAAGGTTTTTCCGCAGACCAGAGGGGGTATAGTTTTGAGTACTGCCTGCATCCCAAGGATGGAGCTTTGCTGGCATGCTGTGAACCAGTGCCAGTCCATGGACCAGGGGTTGGGGATCCCTGATCTAGCACACATAAGAGCCAAATACTTCAGAAGTCAGGCTTCAAATCTCTACCACCACCACCATTATGTCCTTCATGTCTTCATCTGTGCCAAATGCAATACAGAGATTCCTCTCCCCAAAAGGATAGTGCTGAGATAACAGACACAACATTTAAGGTAACCCAATTTTGTGCAATGGACCCTTCCAGTGTGAAGTCATTTCAAAATAGCCAGAAATAAATAGCAATAAGTCTATCAGATTGGGGGTGGTGGGGGTGGTGGTATTTGTGTGCTTATTTGGCAATGATGACATTAAACAACATTGCTAAAAGTTGGTTTGGCACACAATCCTCTGTTGGAGAAAGGTAATGTTTAGATTACATGATGCCTTTCATGGAACAAATGAACAAATTATTCTTACTATATGTTATAGTTGTTTCCTTTTTATAGTGTTATTGTTATTATATGTATCGCCTTGAGTCATATGTAAAGAAGGCAATTATATAAGTTGCCTAAATAAACAAAGCCATGCAGTAAATGAACAAATGCTGAAGCAGTTGGCTTACCTGACTTTGGACTGAGATGTGAGAAGTAAGTCTGGATGAATCAATCTAAACGACTTAAGTAGCTTTTGCCTACAAATCAACACACAGAATCAGCTCTACCCTGGCAGCAAGTTGAGTGTAAATAGCTACAATAGTTCTATAGTCAAATATGGGGCAAATGCAGCCTGACCCTGGAAGATGCATTTAGAAGAAGTTGCTATCACTACAGGGGAAAAAACATAAGCAAAACTCCAATTTAAATTATAGTGAGTTTTGCACATGTTTTACATGGCTAATGAAACTCGGTGAGTTTGTTTGCTTGGTTTTGGTGGTCCTGCCTGTGCTGAACTATTATAAGGATTGTTTCTTACTCTCTTTCTCCTTTTTTATTCCCTCGCTTCTTTCTCTGTCAACTTTGCAAAGTAGTCCAGGCAAGAAGCATACCCAGGCATACTAGCTCTATCTTTATTGTAAGGTTACATTAACAGAATCTTGTATGTCTAGAATAGCGGTTCTCAACCTATGGGTCGCGACCCCATTTGGGGTCAATCGACCATTTCACGGGGGTCGCCAAGCAAGGCTGTCCGCCATTTTTTCCCTTTTCTGGCGGGTGCCTTACCTCCCTTGGGCTGGGCCAGCTGGTGGCCCAGCCGGTGGTCGGCCTGCTCTGTCTCTGCCGCTTGCCAGCTACGCCTCGGCCGGTGCAGAGGGCGGCACCACGCATGCGCAGCGTTCCCGGGCAGGGAAAGTCCTTGACTTATGACCGGTTGGGTAGTCCTCAACTTACGACCGATTTAGTCCTTGATTTACGATCAGTTTAGTCCTCGACTTTAGTCCTCGATTTACGACCAGTTTAGTCCTCGACTGGTTGGGGTCGCAGCATTAAAAAGGTTGAGAACCATTGGTCTAGAAGAACTTCTCCTGTCCTGCACACTCTCCCTAAAACCAGGGAGTTTCCTTCTGAGATGCGTTTGCCATCCCTCCTCCTTCGGACTCAAGATTTTGTTGATCAAGCCATTGTCTGTGGTATGGTTCTTCCTCCTTTCTCCCAAGGTGATTCCCACATACCAGTACAGTTCCTCCTTTGTGCTTGGTGAAAAGGGAATTGTCATCTCTATGCTAATACAGACTGGGGAAAGGGTATACATTTGTGGTCCACTAGCCCTTGTGATTTTTCTTCAAAATTAAGAACACAAATGTATATACATAACTGAAATTGGAAATGGTTCTTTAGTAAGTACCACAGCAGGGGGCCAAGGGAGAGGTTCTGGGTTTTCATAGAACAGGGGTCCTCAACCTTGGCAACTTTAAGACTTGTGGACTTTGCTGACTGAGGAATTCTGGGAATTGAAGTCCACAAGTCTTAAAGTTCCCAAGGTTGAGGACCCCTGTCATAGAAGGATCTGGATTAAAGGGCAAGCAGGAATATCTTTGTAAACCAAGCCATAATTACACATCAGTGGCATGTCTTTTCTCAAAAAACACCAGTTCTTTTCTCTCTCGCTCTCCTTCACCTTTACAAAATTTTGTTTTTTTTAGAATTCTTGTGCTACAACTCGGTCTGGTTAAAGTTATAGTTTATGGCAGGGACTAAGTAATTTTGGCTGATTTCAAGAAAAGGAAGAGGAAAGGACCCCCTTGGTACTTGGAAGGAGGCATAAGTAGGAAAGTGAAACAGACTGAAATGGCCCGGGCACATCTGTGTAGTCAAGCTTGACTTATGGGTGACTTTATCTTTTGCAGTGTAATCGTTCCACTTATTGCCTGCATTCTTTGTTCCTGGTGGAATCAAGGCATGTTGAGTACCAAGCTTTATGGGTATAACGCCTAAGTCAGTGGTTCTCAACCTGTGGGTCGGGACCCCATTTGGGGTCGAACGACCATTTCACAGGGGTCACCAAACAATGCAGTCCACCATTTTTTCCCCCTTTTCCTTAGCTGTGCTACTTCCTTTTATTCTATTGGCTTTTGAATTAGACTCTTGAATAGAGTCTAATTCTATTGGCATTCAAAAGCCAATAGGAATTGTCCAGGCTGTCTCTGCCCTGCTGAGCCTGCCAAAAGTCCCATTCTGCAAACGGTGTTGCACCAGTTGAGTAGTCCTCGACTTACCACCGGTTGAGTAGTCCTCGACTTACAACCAGTTGGGGGTCGCGGCATTAAAAAGGTTGAGAACCACTGGCCTAAGTGGAATATATTTCCATTTTTGTAATCCTTAACTGAGCTGTGGTCACTAACAGGATGAAAGAAATAGTGGGAAAATATGGAAAGGTTCCAAATGAAAGGTGATATTTCTGGACGCTGCAAAAATTTATAATGAGACAGGACAAACACTGCATAATAATGCTATCTGGAAGAACTCATTAAGAAAGCTCAGACAATGTCCATGAAGATTGAAATGATCCAGTGTTCTGAAAAACCATGAGTATATGATCTTCCCTGCTCCTTGGTAATATATTCAACTCTCAACATAACCATAAAAGGTTTGAACTCAATAAGATTCCATTAAATAATGCAGAATTTAGGGAGGGAAAGTAATGAGCAATAGCCTATGAACTTTATAGAAGTCTTGTTATGCATGCAAACATGCACACAAAAATGATCTTATTGGAAAACTGGCAAATAAGACATCAGATACCATTAGGGAATATCTACTAATCCAGGTCCATAAGAAGGCACTTTTTTTTTTTTGTCTATGCAAGAATGGTACAGTGGGAAATGCAAAAACATAACCAAAGCAATTATTTCTGTCTCATTTTTCACTCTTCATGCTAATGCTACTCTTTAGATTGCTAGTTTCTTAAGACACATGCCATTTTCCTGTGCTGTAAAACTCCAGACAGTTACACTGAGATATCATAATTGTCATAATTGCATACGTCACAATAATATTGGCAACAATAAAAATCAGCAAGCCTTTTGAGTATCTGGAATGTTGTTTGGAGACTTAAAATTGAGCATTATGTAAATTCAATACAGTTTTAGAGTATGTTTGCCATTTTCTGCAAAATGCATTTTACAGATATTCATAAAATGAAACCATTAGGTTTTTTAAAAAAAAAATCTAAAACTTTCGTATAATAACAGGTAGAAAACTCATCTCATTAAGTTTTTTTCATAAGCTAAAGGGGATGTTTAATGAGAAATCACAAATGTGTCCCATGGATTACTGATAGTAGATACCTCCTCAAATATATAACTAGATGAAGTGGAAAGGAGCCAAAGCACATACATACAAAATGGTGTGGGATGTCTTGTAATTAGCAGTCAGAATAATAGCTTATCTAGGAACAGGGTGATTTTTTTCCCAACACTTACAATCATTCTAAGGGATTTGTTGTTCAGTAACATTGGTCTTCATATTTCACTGAAGAATGTGCTGCAAGGAGAAATTCTGTTACCCTGCTGACAGTTTGGGAACTAACTCAATTCTTCTGCCCTTTAATGGGTTTGGAAGGTTAATGTCAACAAATTGGAATATTCTGGCCACCAGAAAACTACTTCAGTTTAAAAACAAAAACAAAGCACTAGCAGGTAGCCAGCATTAGTTTTTAAAAAAAGGGGGGGGGGAGATGAATAGCATAATATATAACTTTGACATTCAATGATAAAAAGATAGATAAATGAGTAAAGAGTATCCTTTCGTGGTGGGATATTGATCACATTTCATGAGCAAGCTGCAGAAACATTATTTACTTATTACATTTTTATCTTACCCAAAGGGCTTCAGGTTGCATATATGGTCTGTCCTCTTCTCGCTTTTATTCTGATCAGTCAATAATGTCATCCTGGACACTTTTCACTATATCAAATCCTGCCTCTTCTGTTTACACAAATCCCTGCTACTGCAGCTAGATAATGCTGGGAAAGTAACATACAATCATTACATATGATACAAATAAAGATGCTGAGGTCTTAGAAAGAGTGCAGAGAAGAGCAACAAAGATGATAAAGGGTCTGGAGTCTAAATCGTACAATGAACAATGAACGGCTAAAGGAACTAGCTATGTTTTGACTGACAAAGAGAATGCTTAGGCAGAATGGCAGCAGTCTTCCAAAAGGAAGGGCTGCCACAGGAAGAAGGAGTCGATTTATTCTCTATAGCAACTGAGGGAAGGACAAGAAGCAATAGGTGGAAGCCCATCAGAGGGTGATCCAACTTAGAAGGAGGAATTTCCTGACAGTGAGACTAATTAATCAATAGAACAGCTTGCCTCCGTTTTCAGGAAAAGAGTGGACAATCATTTGTCTGGGATGATATAAGGTCTTCTACCTTGGGCAGAGCGCTTGTCTAGAAGACCATGAAGGGTTCTTCTAGCTCTGTGGTTCTATGATTCTAAGCCTCCAGCAATAAAATCAATTAATCAAGAAGACAAATATAGGCAAACACTTGATTCCTAATCTAACTTTTAAAGAAGGCCACAGATGGGAAGCTTCCTGCTGAATATGGTCCTGCTGAAAAGCCTCTTTATGATGGAATGGAATGGAAAAGTTTAGGACCACTAAATGTTTGTTGAAATGTATTCTCCAGATTACCATTAGAAAACAGCAAAGAGGTTCAGATTTTTTTTCTTTTTCCATCTAATGATGATCCAAACTAACGATAATCCAGTCTAGATATGGTAGGCTAATAAAGGATCCAGGAATTTATCTATTTCAGCAGTCCTTTTCATTTTATCTCAAAATGCTCAGAAGGATCACAGTGCTTTGAGAACATGGTGGGCTGCAAAAGGGAAGCAGGTACTGAAAATGTTCTTTTTATTCAATTACCTTAGAATTTATAGCGTCTACCTCCTTACCCGTAGATTAATGATTGCAGTACTAGCTAAATACATATTAATGTAAAGGGGGAGAAGACTACCAAGTTCCAGGACCCAAGAGCTAACTAATAATGTTTGATCTAAAGAGAATTAAAGATGTTTCATAATTTTCAGGGGAAAAATTCCCCCAGAATTTTAGGCAGAAACAAGTAGATTGTCAATAAAGTAAGATGTCCCACTATAAGGCACTCATTCTTCAGTAATTAGAGGATATTTACAAGGATTTCAGCTGCTCAAAAAAAAGAGGTCTTTTGGAGAGGAACATAATGTTATTTCCTTAATTTGTTCATAACAGCTATATTAAAGACAGTTTACAGCTGGGTAGTCTTCTACGGACTTTTCCACCAGGCATAAATAAATCAAACCATGCCAAAAGCATTTCCCATCCCCCCTAACAATTAAGAGAATCGATAGTTATTAACAAAGTGCTCTCCTA